GCACGTGTCAATTTGAGACATGTAGTGCACATCGATCAATCTGTTTTCATTTGATTTTGATTTTGATCTCATGTAAATCCATCACATATGTTCTTGTGTTTACTGTATGCAACCATAGGAAGGGTTATGAATGTACATTGAAGTCTAAATACTTCATCATGTTGTACGTAATTCCAACATTTCCTCAGTCCTTTCCAAAAATCCCTTTATACATGATTTAAACTTGTGACTGCAACGTATGGGGCAGTTTTTTTTTAGCAGAACAACTGACCGAAACTTCATTAAAAAATGTAGAGAATAAGCTTAAGACATGTCTCGTTCTTAGGATTCCTTTGGTTTTACAACCCGACATTTTTTTTTCTCCTCTATAAATTCTTATTAGTAATTTACCTTCAGAGAGTGTTTGCTCGGAGAAATCTGATTCTATAAAGAAAACACACAATTTCCTAATAAGTAAAAAGAGAAAGAAATAAAAGATATAGGTATGCGTGGGTCCATTGTACTCTGCAAGGTTTGATACAAATGATTGCCTTTAAACACAAAGATTATTGCCTTTGAACGCAAAGATTATTGCGTTTAAACGCAAAAATTATTGCGTTTAATCGCAAAAGTATTGCGTTTAAACGCAAAAATTATTGCGATTAAACGCAAAAGTATTGCGTTTAATCGCAAAAGTATTGCGTTTAAACGCAAAAATTATTGCGATTAAACGCAAAAGTATTGCGTTTAATCGCAAAAATTATTGCGTTTAAACGCAAAAATATCATTGCGATTAAACGCAAAAATTATTGCGTTTAATCGCAAAAGTATTGCGTTTAAACGCAAAAGATTGCGTTTAATCGCAATGTTTTGCGATTAAACGCAAAGTGTTTTGTGTTTAAACGCAATATACATCGCGTTTAAACGCAATATACATTGCGTTTAAACGCAAAACACTTTGCGTTTAAACGCAAAACATTGCGATTAAACGCAATCTTTTGCGTTTAAACGCAATACTTTTGCGATTAAACGCAATACTTTTTGCGTTTAAACGCAATAATATTTTCGCTTAAACGCAATATTTTTTGCGTTTAAACGCAATAATTTTTGCGTTTAAACGCAATAATTTTTGCGATTAAACTCAATACTTTTGCGATTAAACGCAATAGTATTGCGATTAAACGCAATAATTTTGCGATTAAACGCAATAATCTTTGCGTTTAAACGCAATAATCCTTCCTTATAAGGATTTGTTTTGCTATTAAACACAATGATACTGTAGTTTCAAAATCAAACATGAATTAGTCAAAGCTTATAATTACATGTACTAGGACCGACACTTCAACTTTGAGAAGATCCGATTTGTTCTGTGTCTTTTTGCAAAATTTTCCAGTTTTCGAAAATTGTAATAAAACAATGGCATCCTAACAACCTGAATGTCTTAAATGTATTAGAACCCAAAACTCTTAAAGAAGTCTCGATCAATTGCTTACGTGTATCACAACTTATAGAGAAAGTTTCAGTGGTATTAATAGCACTTGTCAATTTGATACATGTAGTACACATCGATCAATCTGTTTTCATTCGATTTTGATTTTGACCTCATATAAATCCATCACATATGTTCTTGTGTTTACTGTATGCAACCATAGGAAGGGTTATGAATATACATTGAAGTCTAAATACTTCATCATGTTGTACGTAATTCCAACATTTCCTCAGTCCTTTCCAAAAATCCCTTTATACATGATTTAAACTTGTGACTGCAACTTATGGGACAGTTTTTTTTTTAGCAGAACAACTGACCGAAACTTCATTAAAAATGTAGAGAATAAGCTTAAGACATGTCTCGTTCTTAGGATTCCTTTGTTTTTACAACCCGACCTTTTTTTCTCCTCTATAAATTCTTATTAGTGATTTACCTTTCAGAGAGTGTTTGCTCGGAGAAATCTGATTCTATAAAGACAACACACAATTTCCTAATAAGTAAAAAAGAGAAAGAAATAAAAGATATAAGTATGCGTGGGTCCATTGTTCTCTGCAAGTTTTGATACAAATGACTGCCTTTAAACACAAAGATTATTGCCTTTGAACGCAAAGTTTATTGTGTTTAAACGCAAAAAGTATTGCGTTTAAACGCAAAAATATCATTGCGATTAAACGCAAAAATTATTGCGTTTAATCGCAAAAGTATTGCGTTTAAACGCAAAAATTGCGTTTAATCGCAATCTTTTGCGATTAAACACAAAGTGTTTTGCGTTTAAACGCAATATACATTGCGATTAAACGCAATCTTTTGCGTTTAAACGCAATGATTATTGCGATTAAACGCAATAATTATTGCGTTTAAACGCAATAAAAAATATTTCTTTCTCTGAATTGGCCTCAACGGGCTTCCGTAGAAATACATTTACCATAGATTGTCCTTTTTAAAAAGAAAAAAGAACCAAACTTCTATATGAAGTACAGAAACATAAAAAAAATTTTAATAGCTTGGATAGTTCTCAAATATATTTTTGGATCATTATATGTGAAAATATGAATGTTTTACTCAGTTCAACTTGGAAACTTCCTCTCTTATCATTTAATATGACATTGTAAATCATAACAACTTGATTTGTATGTAATTTTTTGTTATAATTTATCTCCTTATTAATAATGTACTGCCTTAGTCAACTAATGTATGTTTCATGCCTCTCTGGGGGCCCTTGATTGGAAATAAATATTGTCTATTCTCCGCACTATCAGAGTTCATCAATCAGGATTCGATCAGATAAAACATTCACCCAATTATTCATTCAATTTAAATTTTATATTAATTATTGTACGTTTTTGTTAAACATTTAAATCTTTATTAATATTTATGAATGTTAAATACTTTTATTTTTTTAACTCCGCAGAAACGCACGACTACTTCAAACTAACCGACCGCCTCCTAGCGGCTGGTAATAATTATCTCTCTATCACTGAATTGTTGCCTGTGACGCCAGAGCAATATTTCGCCGAAATCCGATTGAAATATTTGAATTTCAACTCTCAATATTGCTTAAAATACATGTATGCTTACAACAACGTCTATTATATTCAGTATTTTAATAAACAAGGTTGTAGATTATATTTTTTTCATAAAATTAAGAATATTGAAGAGCATGCGATAAGTTCTTTAACAAAACAGCCTGCCAACTTGTAGAGGATGAAAATTGCACACTACATTTGTACACCCTCCTTCCATAAACGACACTGTTGTTGATATACTGTTATCACGACATATATTGCGCGTATATTTAAGCAATCGATATGATTGAGATTCGAATTTATTTAGTATTTCGCTAGGTACATAATAACAAGGGGAAGGAAGGTTAAGTTAATAATTTTCGATAGACTGAAAGAAAAAATCAACACAGGTATATGGATTATGCAATCTAATTTTAAAAATTAGATTGACCATTTTGGTCGTTGTTAGAAATCTTTGCTAACATAACAATTTCTCTTTTTTAATATATACATGCTTTTTGGGGAACAAAAATGTCATTGGTAGGTCTGTTGAAGTCCACTCACCCGTATTATTTCTTTGGACAGAAAGAAAATAAAAGTATTCTTACTACATGTGTAATACTTAACAAACATGTACAGAGAGATTGAATGAAGTCCTTTAAATGTCATATACGAAGATTAGATCATAGTTTATATTTCGTTGAGAGTATTTTTAGACGAGCAATACAAGGAAACATGACTGGACCTTTTAATGAAAAGCTTTGGTATATTGGACTAGGATTTGGATTACGGCGAAATACCTGGATTTCCTCTATTCAAAAGCTTAATCTTAACTGTGACTCTTGGTAACTTTAATATACTATTAAGATATGATTTTAAAATCTTCTTTTGCAAGACAAAGTATTGTGAGAATATCCGAAGCTTGAATCAACAACTTTTAAGAAAAGTATGATAATAATTGTGATCCATTTGTTTTTTGTTTGCGTACAGCGTTGTGGTAAGTCTCTCTCTCTCTCTCCGTATCGATTTATTATAGTTATATACTAGTATATCTGGATAACATTGTCAGACAATTCAAAATTAGATACACGTATAACCATAACCACATGCAGTAAGCAAATTCTTGCAGTTGTGAAATTTTATTTGTGAAAGCAAGAATTCTTTCTAGCACCTGAACTGTAAGCTCGAGTGAACTTATCTGATCACTCATTCGTCTGTAAACTTTACAAATTTTCAACTTCTCAAGAATCACGGAAGCTAACTACAACCAAACTTGGCGCAGAGTATCCTTGTGGTAAGGGGATTCTAAATTGTTAAGATGAAGGGCCGTGCCCCCTTCGAAGGGGAAATCATCAAGAATTTAGAAAAGGTAAAAAGAAAATAGAGAAGGGCCATTACAAAAATCTAGATCGAGAACCACAGGGACAGAAAAGATAAAACTTAGCTTTCTGACATATTGTAGATAATAAATTGTTCAAATTATATCCCTGGGGACGGGGTTGGAAAGTTTTCTTAAGTTATGTATTTTCTTTTATTTTTTGACCAAGGGGTTAGTTTTGGGCTAAAGTTAGGGATCAGATTTTACATAACCCATGCATTTAGGAAAGGTATCTTCTTCTATAGATTATATAGGTCAGGTTAATCGATATTGTATCACTCTCATTTTGTATGGATTTATAAGTTTGTGTATGTTATGACCCCTTTGTGCCTGGGTGGGATCACAATATGGAGTCAAAAATCTTTTTAAAACATATGAAGAACAACAGGGCCAAAGTTACTCTGGTGATTGTTGTTGTCCATAGTCCTTTTGTTGTAATATTAATTGTGTGTGTGGTGGTGGTGGTGGTGGGGGGGGGGGGGGGACATGTAATACTTAAATGAATTAAAAAAAAAAAAACTGACCTGATTCAGAGAGAATTCACAGCCTGTGGGCTACAACCTGTACAATCATGTACATTATAAACATTTTTAAGCGTTGAATAAACATGTATATGTATTATAACCCATTTTCCTTATTTACAGACGCGGCGTGTACATTTCCAGAAGAATTCACAGGAGACTGGCATGCAAGTGACATTGGAGATGTCGTATTTCATAGAAACATAATGGACTCGAAAAGTAGTATTGTCAATTTTGGGATTCGGAGATTTGAATGCATGATGAAAGAAGAAAACCGATACCTAATGACGTATGTAGTTTTCATTGTATCAATAATGGCATGCATCAGTTCAACACTCTCTCCTAGTGAAAGGATTCATGTAGTCATTGACTGTCTCTGCAGGCCCACAAGGAAGCAATTTACGTTGGGGGAGGAGGGGGGAACAACCTCAGAAAGAGAAAATTTAAGAAGTGTGAATTTTCGTGACTCAATCAATGAAGTACATGTATGTTTCACTTCATCTGCGGTTTTGTTGAATATGCTAGCTAACGCTGGACCAAGATAATCGATATACTTTTCAATTCTGCAATAAAATTACTTTTTTAAAACTTATTAGGATATATATATATATATATATATATATATATATATATATATATATATATATATATATATATATATATATATATATATATATATATATATTCCCGCAATTTATATCTGTATTATTTGTATGGAAAATTTAATTTCCCGTATTAAATTTCTTACGTTATGTCATGACGTCATAATTAACTTTACTAATGCGTAAATTCACATTAGCGCTTTTTGACGTCACAGTAAGAATATTGATTTTGTATTTATGTGTAACTAAGCAATATGTTGTCAAACTCCTGAAGATTGAAAATGAAACCGGTAGAGTTTATTTCGGTGTTGTGATTTTTATATATATATATATATATATATATATATATATATATATATATATATATATATATATATATTAGACCAAACCAGTCAAGGCTCTGTTCTTATTTACAGGTCAGATGTCTTTAATTTCTACGGTTCACCCTTCCGACTTGGCTTGTGTTGGGAACTACACCGAATATCAGCTACACAATACACATATTACGCAGCTATGGGTTAGCCTTGTGTTTCTTTATGTCTAGTTCATAATAAGATAGGTAACTTTATATCAGTTTTTATTAACAAAACTACTTTTTGTAATCTAACAGTGAAGGCATGGGATCGGCGGGAGCTGGTTGAACCCATCCCCCTCCCCCCCACATACATACACAATCGATTATGATTGGGGTTACAAAATTATCGTTTTTAAGATCTTAAATTATTACTATGTATGTGAGAAATGAAAAAAAGTATAATGTGTCATTGTTTTTAAAAGTTTTGGGGCTGACATTGAGTGATAAATAGATTTACATTTGCATTTCCCCCTCCCTCTTTCAGACGTGTTACCAAATACAGCAAATGCAAGGCTACTATTCCGTTTGCACACATCAGACTTTAACATCACAAGAGATTGTCAATTTAAGTCTTCGTATGATCCTTGGCAGTCCAGAGTTCTTTTTAAATTTGGTAAGTATTTCGACAAATTAAAACGCTATCTAAAATTGTCCTTCCTGATGGATCCCCAACATCTGCTGGCAAGATGCAATCTGAAGAGATACTTAAATTATATAAAGATCTATAATCAAAATTTCACCATACCAAATCCAAATTATGGCCATTCTTTGAGGTTTGTTTCAGGTTTATTTTTACTGTAAACCAACTTTAATTTTGCATTTATATACGATAAATATCAGTGAGTTTCGTGCTGTTACGCATAATTCTCGCAGCAAATTATTTGTTCAGTTGTGTTTTTATAGGTGCTCAGAGTACCAGACAGTGTCCTTTAATTCTTCAAGCAAATTTTACGTATACATTTGACCCTGGAAACGGAAACCAATGCAATGCAAATACTTCGTTAGATGTGTGCTCAGATACGTCAAGGATGAATTTTAACTACAACTTCTGTGCTATTGAGCAAGGATATTCAGGTAATCGTGGAAGAAGAATGTACGTTATTAAGAATATTAGTAATTCGCCTCTGAATACTTTGTCCAATTTTTCTTATTTGTAGCGACTGGTGAGTTATCTTGCATTCAACAGGAATCGCATAATGGCAGTACTTACCTGATTGTTTACAACAATGACAGAGTTACTCCGGACGAAATAAATAGATTTAGATTTACATGCTATGTGAGTTTTTGTTTCTCCCTCAACAGAAACAGTTGAGAATCATTCCGTAAAAACTAAAAGGAAAAAACAATAAATAAAGAAAATAACAACATCAAAATAATTCACGCATACACTAGTGTACTCACACATATTACAATTAAATAATGCATGAAAGTTAGTGTGTTTGGTCCAGGCATACTATAGGATAAAAAACTTGCATTCTGCCTAATCTTTTTTTTATTACTGGGACACAATGGTACATGAAATTTTAGTAAAATATGGTAAGATGAATAAAAAAAAAAGGATTATTACAATTCATTCAAAAAATGATGCAGTACATGTTATTCTAAACACTTGTTTTGTGTATTAAGGTAATGCAACAGGACAAAAGTGATTCACGTCTCATTCACGTGACACAATATCCACAGGCATGTTTGGACGAAAATTCTCAATCACCACATCAAGTGCTGAGGCCAGGAGCGTACCTCAAGCTTCATCTCTCTAGTCAAGGTAACGCTCTATATTAATATATGAAAATGGACCATTAATGAACACAGATGTTTTAACACAGGGAAACAATGCATTATATCCCATGACAATATATTCTGAACTTTTATTTGAATTTAGTCAGTCATTTTTTTTTTCTCAAACTCTCGTTCCTTACAAGATTTTAAACCCCAGAAGGACAGCCCTAGCTTGTTTTTCTTCCGGGTTGGGTACTAGACTGTTGATACGAGTCTTAAAATTTCAGATTATTGTAATAGTAAGTATTTAGATTTAATAGATACATGTACGTTTGGGTTTAATATGAGTTGTATAATTTTACCCCCCCCCCCCGTTTTCCTTTCCATACTCCTTATAGCACATCTAGTTAATTATTTACTGACGTTGTGAACAGTCCTGGGGGTTATTCAAATGTCGAGAAAATAAGATACTGCCGTGTACAATGCACAAATATAAATTTTATTTCACGCCATATTTTTCTGCTAACTTTCGGTATATTGGATACATTCTAAAAAGAAATTTGCAAGAATAAAAAGAAAAAAATGTATTTGTAGTAAATCGATTCCTAACCAATCTAATTAAAATTAGATGTTCCGAATCCACTACCGCTTCTCAAAGTTTGAGAATCGGTAGCGGATTTGTAACATCTAAATAATTTTAATTAGATATAGATTCAAAAGTAAATATAAATCCTCCTAAGACTAAACTTGCATATTTGTTGTATGCAAAGATACATACAGGTCCATTCTCACGTAATTAGCAGTCCTGCAGTCGTGCTTACCTGTTTCATCTTAAGATGCATACTATCGATCTTGGATCAGATGCTGCATGCATCCTATATTTCTTTGATCAGTAATAAGGAAAAAGTATTGGAGTAGATCTGTTTATTCCCAAGTAACTATAAATCCTGTTATGACAAGTATTGCAAAGACAACTTACTTCCGGTCATGTCTCGGATGGTTGAATGTGTCCTATATTTTCTGGAAAAGTCTTGAAAGTCCTTCCTTTATCAAGAACTTATTCTCCCCATTGTTGTTCAAATATTTTTGAATAATATGCAAAAAGGATAGTCGGGATGCATTAAAATAAACATACTGAAATATGATAAAACATGCATTGGATGCTGCGTTTGGACTGTATTTATGAAATGAAAGTGAAGATAAGAAACAGTGATCATGACCGTGCACAAAAGTCCATTTAAACAATACAGATAGTGAGAAAAGTCAACACGGACCCCGCAAATCAGAGGAACCATGGAGGAGTAAGCACAAAAGTCCATTTAAACAATACAAATAGTGAGAAAAGTCAACACGGACCCCGCAAATCAGAGGAGCCATGGAGGAGTAAGCACAAAAGTCCATTTAAACAATACAAATAGTGAGAAAAGTCAACACGGACCCCGCAAATCAGAGGAGCCATGGAGGAGTAAGCACAAAAGTCCATTTAAACAATACAAATAGTGAGAAAAGTCAACACGGACCCCGCAAATCAGAGGAGCCATGGAGGAGTAAGCACAAAAGTCCATTTAAACAATACAAATAGTGAGAAAAGTCAACACGGACCCCGCAAATCAGAGGAGCCATGGAGGACTGTCGACGGTGTCGCATAATATTTGGTCCGCCTCGTTTAAAGGTCCGGGGGGACCTAATACGATAACATATAAGGTCCGCCTTTTATAAGAAAAGGTCCGGCCCGTATAAGAAAAGGTCCGCCTTAGTTTAAAGGTCCGGGTGGTGCAAAAATGTTTTAATCTTGACTTAAACACATAAAATTAAGGAGAGTTTGTTTACATCATATGGAGAAAGATTAAGGATTAACCCTTGCTGTTGTGTTTATTTTTTTGTACAATGTATCTCTTAGGGCAGGAATTGCTACTCCATGTTTAGTGTGCTTTTAGCAATACTGTTTAGGGCAATGATTTAAAAAAAATGTCGCATTTATTGGATTTGTGTTTGTTTTTCCCCAGCATTTGCTTTATGTAAATTAGGACGATTAAAGGTGTGAAATCTGCCGGTGTGTATAGGCAATAAAACAATGGGGGTGTGAAGTATACCTGACAGGTACCCGCAGGTAGAGCCCGCGGCAGATAGCAATGACAATGTAATGGTCATGTGTTTGCTTTAAACCAATAGATATGAATTCTCTATTTTAATAAATTATGCTGAAGAACAAATTATAATACTGTTATGATATTCATGCGTACACATCAAAATTGTGATATATATATAATTATATATAGTCTATTTTTATTACAATATTTAAAGAAATTTCTTATTCCAAGTGTAGAGTTTAATACTAAGACCAATAAAAAATAAAAGTATGTATATGCTTCCCTTTAGTTTTAACAATTAACTTGTTTTCAGTTTACAATATTTTGCCCTTTATTTGTGGATAGGGTAATATATAGCCTAATGTTGTATTCGATCTATATTTACTGCAGAAACAAAATACATGTAATGTTAAAGCTTAAAACAGGTAACTCAATGTTGAAGACATATACATCAGATTTAAAGTATAATCATGGTTTGGATTCAATTCTTTCTTATAAAAATATCACTCTTCCTCGTCATAATGAACTACATATGAAATAATGTTTCATTTTTGTATTATTTTTTTTTTTTTTGCCAAAAGAAAAAGAAAGAAAAAGAAATTACACATTTTACTGTGACTACATGTATAATAGACAGACTGTGGGATAATCTAGCAGGCTGTATTGCATGACCGATTAAAATTTGAAATCATTATTGTAAAATATTTTCTTTTATTACTGACATGAAGCATTTTGGGCAAAGTTGAATGTCCAGTTCTATATACAAGTCATTTATGTATCTCACGTCTGTATGAACGGGGGAAGGGGGAGGGAACATCAGTTGATCCTCTTCCTTTTTTTTGCGTATCAAAGAATTTCTATTTTCTACATTAATTTGTGGAATAACCCCCCCCCCCCAAATGCACCCAGAAATATACTGACTGACTGTTTCTGGGGACGTAGTCAAGCGTGCGTCACATTTCCCATTTCAAGCTACATGATATGTACATTTTCGTGATGTCGACTAGAAGCGTTTCAGTCTAGTTTTAAATCAAAAATATATTTCTTTTATAAAACGCTGATTATTTATGATTATTTATTTTATTCATTTATGGAAAGTGGCAACTTACGGTTATCCGGAGAAAAAAAGGTAATTCATGGGATTTTCCATCATGAGAGTCCAAGCTGCAGACAGCTCAGTATTACGTTACGCTACAACTCCATACCAAGTAGCCCCGGAGAATTGACACTGTATGGAGTATGACTGAGAGTCATACTCTCCGGGAACTACTTTCCCTGCGAATAATGATATGGAGTAATACTGAGCTGTCTGGAGCTTGATTGAGAGTGATCTCCCGTGTAGAATTTTCTACGCGGTGAAAACCAATAGTGTATAATTGTTTAGTACCACTACACCTGCTCAAGAGTTTTTGAAAAATTCTTTACGAAAGCTAGGAACTTTGCCAATGTACTTAAATTATCTTTTTCGAAGTCCTCAGTCATTCTCCGTGGTAACCATGGAGGAAATAATACAATCGGTCTCATGCAGTCATGACAGAATTTTGAAGTTCGATTTTCATAAATGCTATACATTGCACATATCTTGTTTCGGATATTACCTAACAATTTTGAATAATGATTATACAGGCGCGGATCAAGAATTTTTCCAGGAGTGGGGGTCCATGCCAGTCAAAAAAATTTCTAACTCAAAAATTTCTTGACAAGGAAGAAAAAAACCCGTAAAATCCAATTCCATTTCCGAAAACGTGAAAAACACCTATATCGTGGTGGTGATGGTAGGATCCACGTTTTCTAAGGGGGTCCAAAGTCTTTTTTTTTTTTTACTTCAGTATATACTTTTAATAACTCTGCAAATTCCAGATGGGGGTCCTCCCGACTCCCCCCCCCCCCCCCCCCGATCCGCGCATGTTATATGAATAATTTCGGATATTGGCTGGAGAAATTTCCGGTAATACATTGCATCTCAGGTGAGGAAGAGGAGGAGGGGTGGCAATAATTTCCATCTGCTCCTTGCGTATCAAGTACGTAGAAAATAAGCACCATCTGGTGTATTACAGATTTCTTTTTACTTGTCACACAGGGCATTTACCACATACATTATGTACGTAGTGTTGATGAACCCCTTTCTTATTTTTAAGGTGATTATTTTCCCAATTCATTGTATGAATACAGAAACAAATACTCCCTCTTTTTCATGCTATATGAATCTATATATAAAGTCTATAGATACGGATACAGTACAACTAATGATCATTCTAACATAACATTTTTGTGATATACATGGATAATAAATCTGAACATATCTTTTGATCGTATATGGTGAATATATTCTAGATAAATATACATTGTACTATACCATTATACATTCAGATTCGTCACTGCCTTTTATAAAAGAATCGTCCTACGATTTTCCAAGACCTTGATATAAAATAAGAGGCCCATGGGCCACAACGCTCACCTGAGTCAATAAGGTCCTGCTGTTTTTCATCAGCAAATTTATTCTAACATATCTTCCAATGTAAAACATTAATCCCTATTGTGACTCCACCCTACCCCAGGTGTCATGATTTTTATAGATATAGCGCTAGCCCCACCCTACCCCTCGGGGTCATGATTTAAACAAACTTGAATTTACACTACCTCAAGATACTTCTATATCAATGTGACTAAACATGGCTTTGTTGTTCCTGAAAAAAAGGTTTTAGATTTTTTTCCCTATACATTCACATGCTTAACCCTGATAGTGTGCATTGTGGCCCATCCTACCCCTAGGGGTCATGGTTTGATTGATTGATTGATTAGGGTTTAACGCCGAGTCGGCTATATTTCAGCCATATTCCGGCGGAAAATTAATTTTATATGACCGGTTATCATGGTTTAAACAAATTTGAATCTACAATACCTGAGGATGTTTCCATATCAATCTGACTAAAGATGGCTTTGCTGTTCTTGTGGA